TTCCCAAAATTTCCCCAAACTCTCTCTCGACGCATTCCCCTCCCCTTCTCTATTTTCCTCACACAAATCAATCCCCCCACCCCGCGCCACCACCGCCGGAGCCGCTGCTATCACTGTCCGCTGCTATCACATTACCCCATCGTTATCACTGTCTGCCGGAGCCGCTGCTATCATTCTCCTCCTTTGCAGCACCACCACTGCCATTGTTATTCAAGGTTAGTAATCTACCTTATTAGCTTTTTAATTTTTAATTTTTGCTATATAATTTTATGTAATTTTTTAGAGTTTTTGTCTATTTAGTATTAGGGTTTTTGGTTTGAACTACATTAGATTTAGAATTAAGGTATAGAACTCAAATTAATGCATTTAAATTATTTAATGTATAAATTATGAACTTAAGGTAGAAATTATGAACTACCTTAAATTATGAACTTATGGTTCTTAATAGAACTCAAATTAATGAATTTAAATTATTTAATGTATAAATTATGAACTTAAGGTAGAAATTATAAACTACCTTAAATTATGAACTTATGGTTCTTAATAGAACTCAAATTAATGTATTTAAATTATTTAATTTATAAATTGATATAAGGTATAAATTATGAATTGAACTTTTTGGATGTGAATTGAACTTTTAGGATATGTATTGGACTTTTAGGATATGAATTGAACTTTTAGGATATGAATTGGACTTTTAGGATATGAATTGAACTTTTAGGATATGAATTGAACTTTTAGGATATTAATTGGACTTTTAGTTAACTAAAACAAGATTAGGATATGAATTAACTAAATTAATTTGTTCTTGTTTTATTTGTATAGATGGAACATCATACTTGGATGTACAATAGGAATTATCCTAATCGGCAGGGATTGCGGGAGGATTTTGTAGAAGGGGTGGATGACTTTATTAGACATGCAATGTCACTTCCACCATACCTAAGTGAAGGAGTAATTAGGTGCCCTTGTGTTAGGTGCGACTGTATGAAGTTTGGAAAACCGGTGGAAGTTAAGCATCATCTTTATAGGAAGGGGTTTATAGCAAATTACTTTGTGTGGACTAATCATGGAGAGATCGATGTTAGCCATAGGATATTTCATAACATGGTTGTGGGTGAAAGTAGTAGGTCGGTGGAGAATACAAATCGTGATTCTAGAATTCATGATATGGTTGCGAATGCTTTTGGGATGCACTTAGGGGGTGAGCCCAATGAAAATGTTGAACAAACTCCTAATGATGACGCAAAATGTTTTTATGAACAGTTAGAGGAAGCTAGTCGTCCACTACGTAATGGAAGTCTGCACTCTGAGCTGTCTGTTACAGTTAGATTACTAAGTATCAAATCTGATTGGAATATTTCTCAAGCAGCCATGGACTCTTTCATTGACCTAATGAGTGAACTAGTTGACTCTAATATGAAATTAGCTGGTGATTTCTATAAGGCAAAGAGATTAGTTTCTAAGTTAGGACTTTTGTCAATGAGAATTGATTGTTGTGAAGATGGTTGCATGTTATATTATAAAGATGATGCAAATTTAAGTAGTTGTAAATTTTGCAAAAAGCCTCGTTTCAAGAGGCTTTCCAGCGGGAATATGGTCGCTATCAAGGCGATGCATTATTTACCTCTTATACCTGGGTTAAAGAGGTTATATGCGTCGATGAGTTCTGCTCCTCATATGAGATAGCACTTTGAAAATAGAAGACCACCTGGTGTTATGTGTCATCCTTCAGATGGAGAAGCTTGGAAGCACTTTGATAGGACATATCCAGATTTTGCTAGTGAACCAAGGAACATTCGGTTAAGTCTGTGTGCGGATGGCTTCACGCCTTTTTCTATATCTGCGACACCGTATTCATGTTGGCCTGTCTTTCTTACACCTTATAATCTACCACCCAAGTTGTGCATGACTAGTCCATATATATTCTTAAATTGTATTATCCCCGGTCCACATAATCCGAAAAGTTTGATAGATATATATTTGCAACCTTTGATTGATGAGCTGAAATAATTGTGGTACGATGGTGTTGAAACATATGCTCGTAAAGTCGGAGAGGAAGAAGAATGCCATCATAGAGGGATCAGCGTGTAAACTTGAAGGGCTAGGGAAATATCAACAGCGTGTAAACTTGAAGGGCTAGGGAAATATCAACCAAGCAGAATTGCAATTTGCGTGCTAAATTAATGTGGACAATTAACGATTTTCCTGCGTATGGAATGTTGTCTGGGTGGATGACTGCTGGGAAGCTAGCTTGTCCTTACTGCATGGAAAATAGTAAAGCGTTCACTTTGAAACATGGCCGAAAGCAATCATGGTTGTCATCGTCAATTCTTGCCTCCTGATCATGAGTTTAGAAGGATGAAAAATGCATTCAAAAAGAATAAAATGGAATATGATTCTCCACCTCCGATACTTTCAGGTGAGCAAATTTGGGAGAGGGTCCAGAACTTCAGTAAAGTTACTGAAGCTCCACCTTATAGATTCCCCGGTTACGATGTTACTCATAATTGGACGAAACAGAGTATATTTTGGGAGTTGCCTTATTGGAAGGATAATCTTCTCCATCACAACCTTGATGTCATGCATATTGAGAAGAATTATTTTGACAATTTGTTCAACACAGTGATGGATGTTAAAGGTAAGACAAAGGATAACCCGTAGGCTAGAATGGACTTACAAGAATATTGCAGGCGGCTTGAATTATACTTGCAGACAGAAAACAATGGTAAGATATTCAAGCCCAAAGCAAGTTACACATTCACTTTGGAGGAAAGACGGCAAATTTGTGATTGGGTAACAAAATTGAAAATGCCTGAGGGTTATGCGTCAAATCTTGGGAAAAAAGTTGATATGGAGGTAGGGAAGTTGAGCCATTTGAAAAGTCATGTTTTCATGGAGACCTTAGTGCCTATTGCATTTTGTGGTTTGCCTGAAAGAATCTGGAAACCCATCACAGAGATTAGTTTGTTTTTCAAAGACTTGTGTTCTTCCACATTAAGGGAAGAAAACCTACTCCAGATGGATCAGAACATTCGTGTAACTTCTACTAAGATGGAAAAGATATTTCCATGTAGGTTTTTTGATGTGATGGAACACCTTCCAATCCACCTTGTACACGAGGCACGACTTGGAGGGCCTGTTCAATGCAGATGGATGTATCCCTTTGAGAGGTAATATTATAAGTTTGATGTAATTTTCTGTTTTATTTGAATGTTCTTGGCTAACCTGAAATTATGTAGGACAATTGGCAAATGCAAACAATTTGTTAAGCAGAGGAATAGGATTGAAGGATCTATATGCGAAGCTTATCTTGCAAAGGAAACTGCTCATTTTTGTTCTTATTATTTTGAGAGTAATGTGCCATGTGCTAGGAATAGGCCCAATAGGCACACGGTCGAATGTGTGAATGATCCATTATATCCGCCTATGTCCATATTCAATCAACCAGGCCGATGTTCTAAGGCAGTTAGAAAGAGAAGTTTGAGTGATATGGAGTACAAGTCAGCTACACTTCATATGTTGCTAAATTGTCCCGAAGTTGTACCATTTCTCAAGTAAGTATTGATTTAGTAGTTATCAAAATATAAAATTTACTGTGATTACATCTCAATGCAACTGCTAAAAATATTTGATGTGTCACAGTCACTTCGTGGGTCAAATTGGCCATGATGCTGTATATACGAGATTTGATACGTGGTTCAAACAATTTGTAAGTTTGTCCTTAAAATATTCTAACACTATGTAGGTAAACAATGTTTGGAAGTTATGCTAACATATGAATTTTTTAACAATATGTAGGTAAATGATCCAAATAATGGTGTAAATCAACTTTTGAAAGATATATCTTGGGGACCTGGGCTTGAGGTCACAACAATGTCTATGTACGTTGTGAATGGTTATAAGTTTCATACAGAGGATTGATCTAAAAATAAAAATAGCAACAACAGTGGGGTGTGGGTTCAAGGTGGTGATGGCAACCAAGTTTTGGAGATATTGATTATTATGGTGTGCTCAAAGAAATAATAGAACTAGAATATACAGGTTGGCCATTTAAGAAATTGATACTCTTTAGATGAAGTGGTTTGACCTACATCCAACAAGAGGTACAAGAGTATACAATCAATACAACATAATTGAGGTTAATCATACGAGGGAGTATGATCGCTATGATCCTTTCATAATTGCAAATAATGTTAGGCAAGTGTATTATGCTCCTTCTCCATTGCGGCAGAATAATTCCGATTGGTGGATTGTAATAAAAACTAAGCCTGTAGGTAGGGTGGAAGTCGAGAATGTGTTAGATGTTGCATATTAAAACGATATCTCTAGTGTCACCAAATAGTGGACGAACTTTTATAAAATGATTTGGAACATCCTGAACACATATTGGAAGAAGTTGACATAAATGAAGTAAGAATTATAGAAAACGAGGAAGAAGAATCAACTGCTGAAGCTCAAACTAGTGAGGAAGAAGAATTCTCGGACGAGGAACAATACGTCGATGAGCTTTAAAAAGTTGGTTTCTTTAATAACTCTCGTTTATAGCTAGTTTCTTTATATGTTTCAATCTAAATATGTATTATATTATGCAGATGACAGGCAAGGGTCGAGGTAACAATGACCCTACTGGTTCTCGGGGTCGAGAAAAGGCTAGGAAACCAAAGAGGAGGGCAGAAGATAATACTCAATCTTTTCCACCCTCTTCAGAGATGCCTATGCCTATGCCTATGTCTTTGCCTCCACCCCAGGGCTATTCTGAGCTGCCACAGCATCACGAGCCCTACAACTTCGTGCAGACACCAGGTCTTTCGTCACAGGGCCATAGGACTATACGTCCGACATACAGTCCACCTGTCTCACGACCACGTGGATCGCACCCATCTGCATCGCATGGATCACATCGATCCATGTCACATCCACATGGATGAGAGCCATCAGTGTCACAGCCACTCGGGTCACAGCTATCAGTGTCACAGCCACTTGTGGGCCATCCAGCTATGTCGCAGTCACATGGATCGCAGTCATCTTCATCAGGGACTCCATCTATTTCAAGCCTTCGCTTGCGAGATACTAGCTCTGACCCCCCTACACCTTCCACACATTCCTCTGATATACATGCTTCGGACGGTGATGTTGATGATGACGAGGAGGTGCATTATGATCAATATGGCAGGATCATCATAGTCCCTGAGGGTGATGGGTAAGAGTTATTTGTTATTTTTACGTTTATTGTTTTGTACAGTTTGTACTAAGATATTAATGTGTTTTTTTATTAAATTGCAGGTTCGTCCCGAGTAATATTACTACGAGGATAATCACCAAAGCCACCAGAAAGCTTTATGATGGCCCTTATGCGACTTGGAGTGAATTCTTATTCTCACTGAAGGAGCAAATTTTCAATCAATTTAAGGTATAAATGTTCTTTTAAGCAGTATAATTATTTATATTTATGATATTTCCATATAATATTTAACTTTTGAAATATAGAGCAAGTGTGTATGCGAATATCGCAATAGCGTGGAAGTGGCTGCAAATTTTCATCTCAAAGCTCGCAAGCGGTTGTCGCATAGTTTCTCCAAAGCTAGAAAGTTGAACCAGAAGCCTAGCTGGTTGCTTCAGAATTTATGGGAGGATTTGCAAAGGCAATGGCTTACCGCAAAGTTCTTAGAGAAGAGCGAAAAAAGAAAGAAAGCTCGCGCATCTGAGAAGGGAGGATCCTTGCACACTGGAGGTGCGATCAGCCTAGGGACAATAAAAAGAAGATTGGTACGTAATTGCTTAATTTATTTTAATTTTCAAAGTATATCTATTCTGTTTATTAACTAAAATTTATGAGTTTTCAGGAAAAGAAGTTGGGGCGTCCGATTAACCAAGATGAGCTATTCAAGGAGACTCATATTGTAAAGAAGAAGAAAGAGATGGATCAAGAAAGGTGGGTCGAGGGCCGAGCCTCGACTGTACATGTAAGTTTTCACTTTTCATTAAGTATTTTGATTTACTTTTATATAAATTTTGAAATACAAATTCAATGTAATTTTTCTTATAGGGTCGCTTCACAGCTAAAGTGGAGGATTACGCATCAGCCACCTAATGAGTCGGGCGAGCCAATCCAACCTTCGGACGAGGATGCTGAAAGAATGTGGACGGAGGCTGCTGGAGGTCCAAAATGGGGGAAGGTATACGGGCTTACTACTAAGAAATTCCATCGCTATAAGTGTGGAATGCAAGGAATAGGGACTTCCTCGCAAGGCGAGCAACTTGATGGGGAGAGCCTCTTCACTATGCGGGAGACTGTGACAAAGCTCACATCCGAGCTAGAAGCGGCCAAGGAAAGAGAAAAGCTTAGAGATGCTCAGTACATGGGCATGCAAGCTCAGTGTCAGGGCATGCAAGAGCAGCTCAAATCTCTCCTAGCTTCTGGAAGTTTTCCGATTCCCCGGTCTCGTAAGTCATCGCTAGAGGCTCGACTTCCCCGTGCTCATTCCTCCCGTCCTCCCCATGCTCGTTCCTCCCGTCCTCCCCGTAATCGTTCTTTCCGTCCTCGACAAGTAGACCCTTCTGTATACCGTCGTGGTGATGAAAGTTCATCAGACGGTGATGATAATGATGTACAAAACACTCATTGACTTTTATATACTTTGAACTAGACAAATAGAACAGGTTTTCGAATGGGCTAGTAATAAGCATTAACTTAGTTTTGTTAGCTTAATGTGTTAGTTCTATTGAACTTTATACTTTGCTGGTTTTAATGTTGTTGTTGTTGTTGTAGTTGTTGTGTTGTTGTTGGTTTTGTTGTTGGTATTTGTTGTTGTTGTTGCTTGTAATAGAGAATTTAATATGCTGGCTGGTGGTGTAGCTGCCAAAACAGGCAGTTTCTGCCAAAATTATACCCAGAAAAGCGACCAACTTTGGTCGCTTGTTGGTCGCTTTTCTATTTAAAAAAACTATTCGCGACCAAGGTTGGTTGCTAATTAAACCAGATTTCCTGAAAAGCGACCAACTTTGGTCGCTATTTTATTAAAAAAAAAATTCTGGACAATAGCGACCAATTTTGGTCGCTTAAGTTTAAAAAATAATTAAATTCTTGAAATTAGCGACCAATTTTGGTCGCTATTGCCCAGAAAAAATTAAAAAAATTGAAAAAGAGCGACCAACTTTGGTCGCTATTTTCCAAATTTTAAATTATAATATTTGGTTTACAGACCAAAGTTAGTCGCTATATTTTGATTAATAATAAAAAAAACGTAATTTAAATTTAGAGACCAACTTTGGTCGCAAAATTTATATTATTAAAATATTAAAGCGACCAAAGTTGGTCGGTATGTTGTTTACCCGGAATATTTGGTCCTTTTACCTTAGAGACCAAAGTTGGTCGCTAAATTAGCGACCAAATTTGGTCTCTAAGGTAAAGGGACCAGCAAAATAGCGACCAGCCCCATTTGGACGTTTTTTGGTCGCTTTGTGGCCTATAAGCGACCAACTTTGGTCACTTTTTGTGATCGCTTTTTCCGGGATTTCTAGTAGTGTAAGGTTTACAAAGAGTTTCCTAGTGAATGCTTCTAAACAAGCTAGATAGGAATTACAATTCAAGAACTTATTACAAAGTTACAACTCAACTAAGGACATACAATGACTCAATGTGGGAACTGGTCCGTAGTTGCTTTGTTCTTTGTTCTTGAAGCACTTGAAACTTGCTTGCTGGATGGTCACGTGAGTGAGCTTGAGTAAAATCTCTAATTGTTAAAGTGAATGTATTTTACCTCCCTTGGTGTTAATAATGCATGTATGACCTCACATACAATGATGTAAGCAGGGTAGGTAAAAATCCTTCCTTGGAAACTTGACTGCTGCATTGTTTCTGTACAGTAGTGTGTGCAGGCAGCAGCTTTCCAGCTGGAGAGTTGACTTCGTACAGTCTCCTCGGGAACTTGTAAGGACCTGTTCCCTCAGCTGTTCCTTACACTCTGAGGAGTTGAATCATATCCCATGCTGGATCCCAACCTGGAACCTTGTGATCTTAAGGTCTTGTATATGTGTAACAGGTTCCTTATCTGGTTCTGGATAGTAAGTTTGTTAGATCATCAACACATAAAGTAAAGCACTTATGACCAAAGTACTTGTAACCTATAATGATGGTAGTGTGGAGAGATATAAAGCAAGGCTTGTGATTAGGGGTGATACACAGGTGGAGGAGTGGATTTCACTGAAACCTTTTCACCTGTTGTAAAATTGTCCACAATGTGTTGTAGTTGTTGCCATCAAGCATATATGGTTGGTCTCTGTTTCAGCTTGATGTGAACAATGCGTTCCTTCATGGTGATTTACATGAGGAGGCTTACATGAAGCTTCCTCAAGGTCTTTCCATTTCCTCTTCTTCCTCATCTTCCCCCTTAGTTTGCAAGCTAAAGAAATCCCTCTATGGCTTGAGGCCAGCTTCCAGACAATGGTATGCAAAGTTGTCCTAAGCTTTATGTTCAAGAGGGTACACTCATTCCTTAAATGATTATTCCTTGCTTGTCAAAGGGTCTTCTGGTGACATTGTCATTCTTGCTGTATATGTAGATGATATCATCTTGACAGGGAACAATCTTGTTGAAATTTCTGCTCTTAAGAAGTTTTGGATAATGAGTTCAAGATAAAAGATTTGGGTCTCTTACACTATTTCTTAGGGATTGAGGTCAGTACTTCACCTGATGGTGTCTTCTTAAATCAGAGAAAATTTGTTTTGGATTTACTTAAAGAGTATAACTGTTTGGAGGTGTCTTCTGTTGTTTCTCCTTTGGATTTGAATTCCAAGTTGAAGACTGATTCTGGAGAGTTGTTTGCCCATCCTGAAAGGTACATGAGTCTAATTGGTAAGCTTCTTTTCTTGACCATACTAGACCTGATCTATGTTTTGGTGTACAACATTTAAGTCAGTTTTTACAAGCTCCCAGATTGCCTCATATGACTGCTGCTTTCCACATGTTGAGGTACTTGAAGGGAACCATTGATGTTGGGCTATTCTACTCTAACTCTCCTGATTGTACTCTCACAGTTTATTCTGATAGTGATTGGGCAGCTTGTCCTGATACTCGCAAGTCTGTATCTGGTTTTGTGTCTTTTTGGGTGACTGTTTGGTAGCATGGAAATCTAAGAAACAGCCTGTTATTTCCCTCTCATCAACTGAGGCTGAATACAGGGCCCTCAGTAAAGTGGTGGCTGAACTAACTTGGCTCACTAGGCTGCTTCCTGACCTTTCTGTTTCTGTTTCTTATCCTGTTTCTGTTTTTTGTGACAATCAGGCTACAATTCACATTACTAGAAACCCAGTGTTTCATGAGAGAACCAAACACATCGAGGTGGGTTGTCATTTTGTTAGAAAGAAGTTAGCGGATGGCTTGATCTAGTTGTTTCATGTTTCCACCTCTAACCAACTTTCCGACATCTTCACCAAGCCTCTTACTGGTGTACTCCATCAGTCATTCTTGTCCAAGTTGAAGGTGTTCTCCCCCTCCAACTTGAAGGGGGTGTTGGGATATCTGACTACTTGGCCTCAAGCCCAATAAGGAAGACGTAATGTCTGGGCCGGCCACTATTGTCCACTATTTTATTTTGTACATAGCCATTCTTTGTATCGGTGTAATTTGTTTAGTCTTGGCCTCTTTTGTAAATAGCACTTGTATGTAAAAGGACTACATATAAATAGAAAATGGCTCAATGCCTAATTAGCTTTTCAGCCATAAATCATTGTCTTTCACTTCTTCTTCTTCTTCTCGAATGTTCCACATAAACCCTAATCTGCTTGTTCCTAAATTTCTGCTCGATTCAGGATGTTCACTGAAATCATAAAGGAAATGGACAAACTTGATCATCAACGATCAGAGACACAAAAGTTGAAAAAGAATATTCGAAAGAGATATAACGCAACAACAGAGCATTTATTTTTGCAATAAAAACTGAACGTCGACAAAGCGGATGCATTAGATAATGACGATACAGCTAGATGTAACTGTATGTTGGTGGTGGGACGATCAGTCCCAGAGTGAAAGAGCAGCCGCTCTTCCTTGTGCCTCGATGTGCGCACGAATTTGAGCTGCAATAATTTGTTCGTGTGCTTCATTAGCTGAATTTATCATCTCAACTGCTGAATTTGGATTTAGATTTGGATTTTGACGTTGTTGTGATCTCGGTAAAACATCAGCTTCAGGACTTGCACAATGCAAATGCGTCACGAAATCACATTCAGCGCAATAGTACAACCACTCGTCTTTGTTCATTATTGCATTGCAGATATCACAAGCAAATACAGTATCCTTATCTTCGTATGGAGAACCAGAGAACAGCTCCAACTCATGTGGGTGTTTGTCAACATGTATTGACCTTGGAATTTGGAGTTCCTCTTCCTCTATCTCTTCATTTTCGTCTTCGTCTTCCTGTTCCTCCTCTTCTTCTTCTTCTTCCACTTCCACTTCGTCTTCCTCTTCCTCTTCCTCTTCCTCTTCCTCTTCCTCTTCCTCTTCCTCTTCTTGATTGGTTTCTTGTATCTTGATTGGTGCTTCCTTTGGTTTCATGATTGGATTGACTTCTGGTATGTTGACTACTGGCAGTTCTCGTTTTTGTTGGCTGACAGGTTTGGAATTTCCACATTCAAGATGTGTTCCAAAATCACAATCAGCACAATAATACAACCAGTAATTAAGATCTGCATTGTCGTGACAGAGATCACAAACAAAAACAGTGCTCTCATCTTCCTCAAAAGGTGAATCAAATATGAGCTCAAGTTCATGACGGTGCTGCGGAAGTAATACAGTTTGAGGTAAAAGGGCACAATGCAAGTGGATATCAAATTCACAAGCGGCACAGCTAAAACTATAGCCAATACCATCAGAACCACAAGCCTTGCATGTATAGGAACGATTTGTGTAAGTTGGAACTGGGAGGAGGGTCAAGTGGTGGTAAGGATGAGAGGAATGTTCCAGAAAACGAGGAGCATTTAAGCAGTTTTCATGGAGAAAATATTGGCAGCTATTGCAGCCATAGAAATTAGGTTTGTTATTCTTGTTTGGTTTTTCACAAGCATTGCAACTGAGAGTTTCAGTAGCTTCAATTGGATTGACGAGTTTCAAGATGTGGGGGTGGCTGAAGTGTTGTTTACTTTGACATGTAACATCCCTCCATTTCTCTCTTCCCATTTTCCTTTGTAATTAACTTCCTTGGTAATCAATAAGGAGGTATACAATCGAAATATATATATATATATATATATTAGAGAGCTAGCAAGTTCAGTGATCACACTAGCTAATTTGTATTCGTATTTACAGCTACGTACCCTATTTAACTAGAATATGATACTAATAAGTTGGCAGTGCTAATTGATTGCTTGCTTCAATTCAACGTACGACTTGGTTTTCATTTTTTTAAATCTCTTCTGTAAGTCGTCTACGACAACAATTTGGGCCAATTGCTATTTAAAAATAGTTTAGTTACATACTTTGACTGATTAAAATGGCGTAATTGCATTATGAAGGTTTTTGCTATTATTCATATAGATATGCTAGCTAGCATGAGGGAGGCATTGTGAAAGACTTTCATTTGCTCGTACAGCTCATTATTTAAGAACCTTAATTCTAGTCTGGTCGTTTGTGATATAAATAGGAAGTTAAATCCAATTTCGACAAATTTAAGTTATGGGTTCGAATTGTGGAAGCAACTACTGATACTTGTATTAAGATAGGTTGTTTACATTATATACATCATATGGTGCAGTTCTTCACCAAACTCTACGTGAACGCATGATGTTTTGTGCACGGAGCTACTATTTTTTATAACCTGGGAAGTCAACTGTATTGAGGTTCATGGAACTTGGAAGTTACGGTCAAAGTCTACTGTTAGACTTTTTGCTCTTCCAAGTTGCCATTGGATCATTCATTATCATACTGCTGACTAATAATTCATTCTACTATATTTCATTTAGACTAGTAAGTATTTATTTGCTTGATTAAAATCAAACCAAAAAGGTATTTAATTTAGTGCCAACTAATTTAATTTTTTAACCAAAAGTGGAACGAACTGTTTCGTTCTCTCATATAGTCATATTCATTATTCTCTCAGAAACAGAATTATATAGTAATCATTTATATCATCCCTAACTTGCAAACCGATCACTCAGCCTTAGGCCTTGTATACGGTAGAAATCGGGACTACTCGATTTCATTCTTTGGTCGAGATAGAAATATCACGCCGAAAAGCCAGGACGTCGAGTCATCCCGAGATCGACCTCGATTGCGGACAGAAGGAGGCAAACTTCGAGTGACACAGGCGTGCTTGATAACGGAAAAGGCAAGATATCCGTAATTGGTCAAGAATCGGGGCGTAAATCTCGGAACGGATCGATCTGCAGCGGTTAATTAGATGCTAATATGATTTTCTACTATAATTAGAAGTATACCTTGTTTAGAACCCCCAATAAGCATCATTATCCACTGACAAGAATATATACATTCATTACTTTCTTGCTATTTCGCTTACTATCATCAGAGTTGCTTTATCATTTGCTATTCCTATTATCACACCTCGAGACTACCACAAGTCGAGGTCGAAATTTGGCCAGCATACTGGTTTGATTTATTTTATTCTCTAATTTATCTATTTAATTCCTTGTTTATCAATTGGTATTGGATTGAATCACATATCCTTAAAACGACATATAAGTTTAATTGTTACTCGAATTTTAGGGTAAACAATTTGACGCCCACTGTGGGGCTAAGGATAATAGTGATTGTTCGGTTTTGATTCTAATAACACACATTATTTCACGCTTGTTCTTGTGAAGTATTTTTTCTCTCAGGTTAAAACATGTCAAATTCACAAAACGCACCCACACATGGTGATGATGATCTCTGGTTTCATAGGGAAAACAACAATGTAATTGCTCCAGGAGCCGGGGTGCCACCGGCTAATCTCGAGGGAGCACCGATTGTCGATCCGGTCGATGTCAGTTCGCACGTTGCTCTAAATGCGGACCTAGGCGCGGACCCCGAAGGGAGTGTACGCAGGGAAGGCCGATCTAGTGGTCAAGGTACACAGGGCAGAGGAGACGGAGGAGTTAGTCTCCAGGTGATATTCGAGATGCTACAGGCTCAACAGGCCGATATTGCTCAGTTGCAAAATCAACACGGGACTCCAAGTGGGGTCGAGCCAGAAATCACTCGTCGTACCGAGCCAGTGCCAGAAAGGTCGAATGGTAACGAATCGGGGACTGATCCTGCAATAATGAAAATGCTCGAGGATCTCACCAAAAGAATTGAGTCAGGATAGAAGAAAATCGAAGCTAATGATAAAAAAGTGGAAACATACAACTCTCGAGTTGATCAGATACCGGGGACACCCCCGATCCTAAAGGGTTTGGATTTGAAAAAGTTCGTGCAGAAGCCTTTTCCTCAAAGTGCGGCTCCGGAGCCCATTCCTAAGAAGTTCCGTATGCCGGACATACCTAAGTACAACGGGACCACCGATCCTAATGAACACTTCACTTCGTACACGTGCGGAATAAAGGGAAATGACTTACAAGATGATGAAATCAAATATGTGCTGTTGAAAAAGTTCAGAGAAACCCTTTCGAAGGGAGCAATGATTTGGTATCACAACCTGCCACTAAATTCCATTAACTCATTTGCCATGTTAGCAGATTCTTTCGTAAAGGCACACGCCGGGGCCATAAAGGTCGCAACAAGAAAATCGGACATTTTCAAGATAAGACAAAGGGATAACAAAATGCTAAGGGAGTTCGTATCCCGATTTCAAATGGAACGCATGGAGTTGCCACCGGTCACATATGATTGGGCCGTTCAAGCTTTCACCCAAGGGTTGAACGAGCGGAGTTCGATAGCATCACATCAGCTGAAACAAAATTTGATCGAGTATCCATCTGTAACTTGGGAAGATATGCAGAATCGATATCAATCGAAGATCAGGGTCAAGGACGACCAATTATGAGCCCCTTCCGGTTCAGTACATCCAAACAGGTCGGCAGTTAAAACCCACAGGGACGTCGACAGAGAGCCAAGGTCGAACAAAGAACGATATCAACCATATAGTGCAGATCGAAGGAATAATGGTTCAGGACACAATTCCGCCCGGAATGATCGAAGAAGTGATCGAGGATAGAATTTTTGGGGACTTATGAGCAAAAGTGGTTTTGATAAGCATGCCGATCCCACAGAGGCACCTCGGTTAGCGGAATATAACTTTAGCATTGACGTATCGGGCATTGTATCAGCAACCGGAAGGATCAAAGATACTAGTTGTCCCAGAACCATACAGACCGATCCTTCCCAAAGAAACCTAAATTTGATGTGCAAGTATCATGGCACGCATGGTCACAGGACCGAGGATTGCAGGCAACTATTGGAGGAGGTAGCCCGTCTATTAAATGAGGGCCACCTTCGAGAGTTCCTCAAGGATCAAGCTAAGAATCATTTCAGAGAAAGGGACGCCAACAGGAAAAATGAACAGGAGGAACAATATATCATTCATATGATCGTCGGTGGGGTCGACATTCCACAGGGACCCATATTCAAACGCACTAAGGTATCAATCACTAGGGAAAAACGAACCCGAGATTATGTGCCCGAAGGCTCCTTATCATTCAAAACGAAGAAGCAGAAGGCATTTCTCAGCCACACAACGACACTCTGGTAATTTCTATCTTATTAAATAAAGTTCAAGTTAAGCGTGTTTTAGTGGATCCAGGTAGCTCGGCGAATATCATCCGATCAAGGGTTGTGGAGCATCTCGGCCTACAAGATCAAATCGTGCCCGCAGATCGGGTCTTAAACGGCTTCAATATGGCCAGTGAAACAACTAAAGGGGAGATTACTTTACCGGTGAACGTCGCTGGAACCATTCAAGATGCCAAATTCCACATGATCGAGGGCGACATGATGTACAATGCCCTACTCGGAAGGCCTTGGATCCACAATATGAGGGCAGTCCCTTCGACTCTCCACCAAATGATGAAATTCTCGACGTCGGACGGTGTAAAAATAGTATACAGGGAGCAGCATGCTGCAAAGGAAATGTTTGTGGTTGATGAGGTAACGTCGATATCAACGTTATCAACTTCGGAAAGGTCGTGCATCAAAGGTAAACTGGAATCCAATTAGCAATCACAGCCACCAGTCTCGACCGAATTGGGGAAGCGGGAGACAGAAGAAGAAGAAGAAGAGGATTTTCTAACCCATAGAACTTTTATTGTTATCGAAGATTCTGACGCCACCAAATCAACGGTCGAAGAGCTGGAACAGGTTATATTGATCGATTGTCTGCCCGAGCGAAAGGTATACCTGGGAATGGGATTAACCCCCGAACTCAGGAAAAAACTTATTCAATTTCTTATTGATAACATAGATTATTTTGCTTGGTCCCATTTAGACATAACAGGGATCCCACCGAAGATAATGACGCATCGGCTCAGTCTCGACCCTAGGTTCAAAATGGTGAAGCAAAGGAGGACACCCCAGTCCGAGGTAAAGCACGCATTTGTAAAGGACGAGGTAGCTAAACTTCTCAAAATAGGGTCCATTCGGGAGGTGAAATATCCCGAATGGTTAGCCAATGTAGTCGTAGTCCCTAAGAAAGGGAACAAACTTAGAATGTGTGTAGATTATAAAGATTTAAATAAGGCTTGCCCCAAACATTCTTCTCCACTGCCTAACATCGGTCGCATGATCGATGCCACGGCTGGCCAGGAGATCCTTACCTTTCTCGATGCCTATTCCGGGTACAATCAAATTCAAATGAACCCGGAAGACCAGGAAAAGACTTCATTTATCACCAAGTATGGAACATATTGTTATAATGTATTGCCCTTCGGGCTAAAAAATGCAGGAGCTACTTACCAACGCCTAGTAAATAAAATGTTCGAAGGACAAATAGGTAAGTCAATGGAAGTTTATATCAATGACATGCTAGTTAAGTCCCTGCGCGCAGAGGACCATTTGGCTCATTTGCAGGAAACGTTCGAGATTTTGAGGAAATATAACATGAAGCTCAACCCCGAGAAATGTGCTTTCGGGGTCGGTTCGGGAAAATTCCTGGGCTTCATGGTATCGAATCGGGGGATCGAGATCAACCCTGATCGAGGACATCACCGTCGTGGACAGTGTAAAAGCTATGCAGAGGCTGACTGGACGGATAGCCGCTTTAGGCCGATTCATCTTGAGGTCGTCAGATCAAAGCCACAGATTTTTCTCTCTACTCAAAAAGAAGAACGATTTCACCCGGACCTCGGAATGCCAACAGGAAT